TAGATGCTGGGTGGCGAGGGGGAGGAATAAGAAATCTGGAGTTGGAATCCCCACTGTACCAACTTGGACAAGTTATAATCCTTATCCTCTTTGCATCTCAGTTTGCTTATCTATAAACTGGTGTCAGCAAAACTCACTTTGTAACAGTGTCCTGGGTATTAAATGAAACTGCATATGAAGTGCCTGACCTACACTAGGTACTCAGAACAGGCACTATTTTTATAGGGATTTCCCCAAGTTGCTGAATAATGCAGTTTCAGGCACAAAACATGCAAACTGTTTGAGAAAAAAAAGTGATTTAAAACCAGGAGTTCTTTTGGTACTTTATTTGAAGTGAATTGGATTCTCTTTGGATTAAGGAAGAGTTGTCTTGTTCTTCTCTAAGAATTTCACATTTGATCAGATAGGTCCCACATCCGCAGAGAGTTCTGATCTTATCATAAGGACTCTGAGGTCAGACACAGATTCATGTTTTCAGGTTATCTGAAGCAAATCACTTCCCTAGCCAGAACAGATTGTAATGCTTCTCAAGCCCAGCCTCATGTTAGCATCACCTGGGGAGCTTTTCCACCCTATGGGTCTGCCGGACCCACCCCAAACCATTTTCACCAGGGTCTCTGCTGGGTGACGCCTGAATATCAGTACTTCTAAGAGCTCTCTGATGATTCTAACATGCGATCCAGTGGACCAGGAGATCTCCAAAGTCCCTCTCAGCATCCTGGTGCCTACAACAATGAATTGAACATTGTCTACAATGTTCAAAGCAGACACTTAGTTTATGTTTGATGAATAAGTTAGTGGAGATTCTGACTCACCTTTTTTTTGGTATTTCCCTATCCACAGTGTATGAAATAAAAGAAGAAAAGAAACAGTTGAATTGCAAGTAAGAATCCTGGAGCAGTGCTATCCTCTGCAATGATGATAATGCTCTATAATCTGTGCTGCTCAACACAGTAGCTCTAAGCCACAAGTGGTTATTGAGCACTTGAAGTGTGGTTAGTGTGACTGAGAACTGAATTTAAATTTTATGTCATTTGAAGTAAATAGCCACGTGTGACTTCTGGCCACTACATTGGACAGTGCAGACGTAGAGTGGCTGCCTTTCATAAACACACCCACAGCTGCGCCCCTCCATGCTCCTCTTTTATTAACAGTGTCCTGTTTTCATTGAGGGCGGTCCCCTGCCTGCACTGCCTGAGGTCTTTTGGGGGCAGCTCACAAAGTTGCTCTACTCTTTTCCAGCCAATGGGGTGGGCCCAGAACCCGAACTCAGTCAACCAGACTCTCCAGGAATCTGACTGTGGCTCCAGTGTCGCAAGAAAATGAGTTGGAGCAGATTAATACCAATGTTGATTCCCTAAGACACTGCGTATTAGTTTCCAGAACATTAATCCCTGGTGTGACAATAATAAGTGAGATATGATGTGACCTAGGCATCATTACCATCATCATCCCTGTCATCATCCAAGTACCTCATCAGTACCTATCAGTCCTGACATGCCAGCTCCTAAACTAGATACTTAAGCTGCCTAGCTTCCCCCTGCATCATTTCTCCATCTCTAAAATGGAAATAAACTCATCCAAATTTCTTCCAGAGCCTTTGTAAAGGCAGCAAAAGAAATATTAGTCATAAGAGCTTTGAGCCAAATGAGGGAGTAACCAAATTGTCATTAGAGGTGTTGTTTCCTGGGATAGGTATGGGGACCTGTGGGAGGGTCTGAAGCAAGACCCAAGATCTGGGCCCAGTTCACAAGCTGTGTGACCCTAGGCAAGATACTTGTCCTTTCTCAGCTTTCTGCTAAAATGAGATTAAGACATATCCCTCTCTAGTTTCACCACTTTCTCATCTATTTGCACACCCCTCCCACCTTGCCTGACACCTGTCCCCTCCTCCTTCTACAAATATGTCCCAGAAAATCCTCTAGGCTAGATCATGCTGGCCTGGTACCGAATTCATTTCTTCTTTCCCCAGCAACCCACTTAACTGGCAAGTTGCCCCGGGTATGTACTCCCATAGCTTCCTAGACTAAGCCTCTGACAAAGCACTCTGCTAGAATAATGTTTAACCATCTCCTCCAGGAGTAGACCATAAGCCTTGCCAGGGCAAGGCTCACACTCCTCTTGTCCACCATTGAATCCCCAGTGCCTAGTACAGAGCCGGGCACACAGAAGGTGCTCAGTAACTACTTCCTGGTGGAATGCTTTAATAAATACTCCAAATACATTTTATTATTTGTCATTTCAGGAAGTGTCATTTCACAGGATTAATCATCGAATGCTGCCTAACAAAGTACCCCAAAACTTACTGGCTTAAAACAACGATTGCTTCTTATCTCTCAATCTCTGTGGGAGAGAAACTCTGACAGGGCACAGTGAAGTTCGCTTGTCTCTGCCCCATGCCTGGGACCTTGGCTGGAAGACTCAAAGTTGGTGGTGGAGTAAAATCAGTTCACCACCTATCTGATGAGTGATGTTGCTTGTGAACTGAGAGCCTGGCTGGAGAGGTCAGCCAGAGCACCTCATGTCCTCTCTCCATGTGGCTTGGGCTTCCTCACAGCATGGTGTCAAGGTTCTAGGGTGGTGGTCCTGAGAAAGTAAGAAAGAGATAGGAGGAACATCTCCTTTTTATGACATAAGCTTAAGGGGATCCCTGGGTGGCACAGCGGTTTGGCGCCTGCCTTTGGCCCAGGGCGTGATCCTGGAGACCCGGGATTGAATCCCACGTCAGGCTCCCAGTGCATGGAGCCTGCTTCTCCCTCTGCCTGTGTCTCTGCCTCTCTCTCTCTTTCTGTGTGACTATCATAAATAAATAAAAATTTAAAAAAAGATCTATCTAGCATCACCTCCACACATTGTTCATTAGAAGCCAGTAGCTAAGTCCAGCCCACAGTCAAGGGGAGGGGAAAGCAGCCAACATCTTTTGGAAAGAGAAGTGGTAAAGAACTTGCCAACATTTTAAAACTACCGCAACAACTGCTTAGCTAGCACAAGAGGCAAAGTGCAGGGTGAAAGGTGTCTGAAGAAGTAAGGCTTCAGTTCAAATTATTAGCTATGTGAGCTTGAAGGCATTACTCCCTGAGACTCCATCTCCCCATCTACACAATGAGTAGGTTGTAGCTGCTGGTGCCTGGTGGTTTTCATGCTCAGAGTCTTCCCGCCTCAGTGAGCTTAAGAGGATCTCTTCTCAACTAGCTTTCTTGAAGTCCCATGACCCTTCCCATCACGCATCACCCTTGGTTTCTGACTCTGGAGGCAGCAAGAGGGAGCTTACTGGAGCTCGGGGGACCTAGGAAGCTCAGACACCAGGGATAACTTTAGGGAACAGAAGAGAAGCCACTGAGCACCTCCGGGTTCTCCAAGGCCTTCTCTGTCCCAGCCCAGGTGTGGAAACCTCAGGGTGCCAGTGAGGGGGGTGGTGAGAAACAGGGCAGTCACAGACCAAAGCAATGGGCATCTGGCCAGGCCCCAGGCATCTGCTTTACGGGCCGGCCGAGAGACTGTCATTCATACTAACTCCTGGTGGGAGAGAGGGGAGAAGCCTTAAAGCGCCGGGGGCTTAGCTGTCTCCTTTTAGAAAGTTCTTTCCTTCCGCTCCCTGCTCCTGTCTTTTCCATGTTACTTTTCTGTGGAGGGGAAGAGAAGGTTGCCTTGGGTCTCCGCAGTCCTGAGCCCACGCACAGCTTCCCCCTTTTCTGAACCGGCTGCAGGACGTCGCCTCACACTCTTGTGGGTCGCTCAGTCCCCAAACCCTGGGGCACAGCAGCCGCTCTGCCCGGGGCGGCGGGGGGGGGGGGGCACCTACCACCTGGTTCGGTGCAGGGTCCACCCTCGTCCCACCGGTGCAGGACTTGGGGTGGAGCCGGTGGGTGCCTTTTAACCCTTTGGCTTCCAGACCTTAGGTCGTGACCCTAAGCCCCCAGAGGTCCCCCTCCCCTTTAAGGAGCCCGCGCGCCGGGAGGACCCCGCGCTCACCAGGTGTGACTGCTCGGCTGACAGAGGGGGAAACCGAGGCCCGCGGGGGGAAGAGACCTGTAGGAGGCCCCGCGGGAAATCAGACTGCGGTTGCGGTCTAGAGCCGGGTCCTCCTGGCCGGGCTCTCGCTGCGACCCTCTGAGGGCCCCCGCGAGGCGCTTCCTTTAGGAAATTCCCGGCCGCGGGCCTCCCGAGCCCCGGCCTCTCCGTGCACTTCGCGCTCCGTGCGGCACGTCGTACGCGCCCCGGGAGAGGTGAGAGCGGAGAGGACCAGCCCCCTCCGCCTCCTAGAGCTAACTTGGGGCGCGGGTCCGGCCGCGGGAGGCGGAGGGCCCGGCGGGGACGCGCTGGCCCTTTAAGGGGGGGACCCGGGGCGCATGCGCGGCGCGGGCCGGAGTCGAGGCCGGTGGGCGGCGGGCGGCGGGCTGCCGGCGGCGGGCGGGCGGGCGGGCGGGCAAGGGGACGCGCGCGCCCGGCGGCAGCTGGGCCCTGGGGCGGCGGGGGCGGCGGGGGCGGCGGCCGCCCGAGCCTCGCGGAGCCGCGGAGCCGCGACCTGCGCGTGGGCCCCGCGCTCGGGGGCTGCTCTCCCGGGACTAGCTCGGGACTAGCTCGGCACTAGCTCGGCGCGCGCTCGCCGAGGCCCCGCCGCTCGCCTGCCGCTCCCTCCGCGGGCCGTGGCTGCGCGAGCCCCGAGCCCTCCGGCCGCCGGTCCTTCGTCCCCGCCCGGGCCGGGCAGCGGCGAGCGCCAGCGGAGCGCCGCGGAGCATCCTTCGCCCGGCCCGGCCGCGCCGCCGCCCATGCCGCAGCCCCTGGGGGCCGCGACCGCGCAGCCGGAGCCCGCCGCCCGGTGACCCCGGCCCGGCCCCGCCGAGCCCCGCGCCCCGCGATGGCTCGGCTGGCGCTGCGCGGCGCCGGGTGCCCGCCGTCCGCCCGCTGAGCCGCGCCCCGCCGCGCCCCGCCGCGCCCCGCCGCGCCCTGCCCCCCGCGCATCACCGAGGGGCCGAGGGCGCGGGGGCCGAGACAAAGCCCGCCGTGCGGGGGCCGGCCGCGGGCGTGGAATGAGCGCCCCCTCCCCGCGCCCCGCGGGCCGCGCGCCTCGGCTCCCGGGCTGGTCGCGCCCCTCGCCCCCCTCCGCTGCGGGCGGCCCGGCTCGGAGCTGATGCGCCCGGGTCGCCCCGGAGCCCCCCGGAGCCCCCCGGAGCCCCCCGGAGCGCGCGCTGCTGGGAGCGTGCGCTATTTTGGAGGCGAATCTATTCTCTCCAAAACTGGGACTTGGGGCGCCCGCTCGGCCTGGGCGCCGGTGCCTTGACCCTCTGTGGCCGCAGGTCGGAGCTGTCTGGCCTCAGTTTCCCTTTGGCTTCTCTCCTCCGCAAGCCCAGACTGCTGCCCGTCATTGTCCTCGCTGTCAAATCGGGGGGCGTTGTGAAGGCTGCCAGCCCGGGGGTGTGCTCTCTATCCCACTTCACAAAAGGAGCAAAGCCTCCGAGGCCGACCCCCGCCCTCCCGCCGCGGACAGCCACCTCTCTACCCCCACTTCACGTTGAGGCACTGATTTCTTTTCTTTTCTTTCTTTCTTTTTTTTTTTCTTCTTACCGAGTAGTATTTTATTGTACAGGAGCCACGCCCTGGTTTCTTAAAGGCGCCCTGCACTCTGTTTGGCCATGTGTTATCTCCGCAGCTGGTGTGTGGGAGGCCTCCAGTGAGCCACCTATTTTTTCCTGCCTCCCGATACATACTCCCACCCCACCCCACCCCCCGCCAAGAATTCGGGGATGCCCGGGGGGAAGAAGGTGGTTGGGGGTGGCAGCAGCGGTGCTGCCACCACTGCCACTGCTGCCCCCTCTGGGGTCAGACGTCTGGAGACCAGTGACGGGGCCTCAGCCCAGAGAGACGATGAGCCAGAAGAGGAAGGGGAAGAGGACCTGCGAGATGGAGGCATCCCCTTCTTTGTCAACCGGGGTGGGCTGCCTGTGGACGAGGCCACCTGGGAGAGGATGTGGAAGCACGTGGCCAAGATCCACCCCGATGGAGAGAAGGTGGCCCAGCGGATCCGGGGGGCCACAGACCTGCCCAAGGTGAGAGATGTGTGTGAGGGTGGGTTGGGGGGAGTGGTGTCTAGGGTTTTAGTGATGTTGGGGCTGGGAGAGCAAAACCACACTTTCCTTGGTGGGGTTGGGGACCACCGGCATGGTAACACTTCAAAAATATACCCAGGTTCTATCTGTCCAGAAGGATTTTCTCTCAACTGCCGTTGAGGTTCTGTGAGGTCCAAATACCCTGTTTCCAAGAGGCACTCTTCCCTCTCTTCTTATTTATTATGTTTTTTGTTTGTTTGTTTTTTTGTTTTTTAAGTAATCGCTATACCCCAGTGGGGCTTGAACTCATGACCCGGAGATCAAGAGTCACGTGCTCTTCTGGCTGAGCCAGCCAGGCTCCCTCTCTTCCATCTCTTGTTAAATATCCATGTTTTGTGGGCAGGGCAGCAGATTAACTGACAAGTACACTGATGTGGCTTATGTCTTATTTGCTAAGCCGATGAACCGTGGGCAGAGAGGTAACGAATGACTAAGGAGGATACAGGAGTTCAGGTGTTAGGAAAATATTTTCATGCCTTATCCCACTGAGTTCTCTGACAGCCTTGTGAAACAGGTGGGGCTTGGGGTCCCATTTTACAGACGGAAAAGCTGAAAACTCAGGTAGGAACTCAGGGTCCCACAGCTAGTAAGGGGTCACAGAGCGAGGACTCAACCACAGGTCTGTGGGCTTGCTAGATGCTAAATTCGGGGCAGTAAGAAAAGAGCCTGTGGAGAGGAGTAAAGTTAAATCATCTTTCTGTGCAGGGCTGGCTCCGTGATGGCTGTCCTTCATTTGCATTACCCATGAAGGCTGAGGCTGTGTCTCATTCATCTTTGTCTTTACAGGGTCTTCTGTATACCTGGCACAGAACAGGTTTTCACACACACAAATTTTGGGTTTTTTAACATTATGATTAAGACCAAGGAAACACTGTCCCCAGTGCAGAAATGCCCAAAGAGAAGCCCTGGGGGCAAAGGTCAGAGCTTGCTCAGGTGAGAAGGAAAGGGGCCAGGGAGAGTGGCCCTTAATGTAGAGTAGACACAGAGATGGCCTGTTCTGTTTCATTTTTACCAAGTTATTGGTAGAGCCATCAGAACTTGTCTTCTGGGCAAAGGGAATTCAGAGGTTGAAGACTGAGCAATGGTCTAATATTTCCAGGGGAAATAAAATGTGGGTTAATTTTGTGTGGCTACGTAATTGTCCATGTAGAAACTTGATATCTATGAAGCTAATCCCCAACAATTGGACATTGTTTCTAATATTCTTAAGATGAACACTGTGGCGAACATTCTAACACATATTTTTGGGGGGGTCCATCTCTGGTTATTTCCTTGGCATAAATTCCTGGAAAGGAACTGTTGCATCAAAGGATATGTTTTTGATCGCCTGCCTATCTGTGTGAACTCGAGTAGGCCCTCAACCTATTTGAGCCAGTTTTCTCACCTGTACGATGGAGTGGATTGTGGGGAAAATTAAATGAGAACCTCGGGGTCAAAGCGTTTAACGAACAGTAGAGTCTCAAACCAGTAGTTATTATTGGATGTGTGTTACCTCGTTTCATATCTTTCATCAGGAGGGGAGGCTAGATTTCACGCAGTGTCTGTGCCAAGAGGGCCAGAGCCACATGCTTCCCCCATAGCAGCAAGTCGGTAGTTAGCAGACAGCTCTCCAGCCACTTGCTTATATCTAAATCAGGCTACGGGGGAGTGTGAATGGTTCCCTGCAAAACTGTTACCACTCCTGAAGACTAAAAAAAAAAAATCAGCGAATTCATTAGTAACTGGTCTGTAATGTCATCTCATCATCTTCAACCATCACGTAGAGGAAAGACACAAGGGAGAAATGAGGTTCTTGTCTGGGGGTAGAGGGGATGTCACAACTGACAGTATGGTGGAGCGGAAGGGGTTTTGTGAGCAGACTGGAAAAATTCTAAACTCACCCTCCTTAAACTACGGGACAAATATCACAGACTGAGAACCTGCATGTATGTATGAGGTTCCTCTTGGACCTTAGCCCAGAGTAGAAAGGAGCCCTAAAGTCTGGGAGCCACCAGAGTGCCAGCAACAGAGGGGATTAACCCCTAGGCTGGCCCCTCCCCAACTAGCCATGTCCTTAGAGGTGGCATAGTGGCATTCTCTGCAGAGCTCACATCAGGGTGGGCCCCAGAGCTATTTTGTTGGGATGGCAATAATGTTTTAAAAGATCACTTGAGCCAAAATATAAAATTGGGAGATTTCACGTTAAGATCCAGATTTTGGGCATCCTTTCAGAAAATGAGAAGATCTGGGAACGGAGAATCTGTGATCCCACATAGCAGCTGGCAGCTGGAGCTGAAGAGCGGTTCCCCCTCTCGCAATTGGCCACCGTCCCTACCCCACCCTTCCCACCTGCCTTACCCCTTTGTGCTACCTGCCTGGCCCCTGCCCATGGTTCAGTCTGGGAGCCCTGGACTGTGTGATAAGAAGAGCTTGGCAGAAAAATCCAGCTTATTCAAATGCTGATTCTCTCATAACCATTTTTGTGAGGAAGGCATGCAGCCTCCTTGTGCCTCAGTTTCCTCAGCTGTCAAATGGGGATAGTAGCAATCCCGGGGTCCAAGGGATTTGGGAGGAATGGATGAAGTGAACATGTGAAACAGGTGAGCATGTGATGTGTACCCAGCAAATGGAGCAAGGCCTGAGGGTGCGATGGCCACCCCACAGCTGCTTTAGAGGATGGATGATACAGTTCGTTGAAGGGCAGCCCGTTTCTAAAGGATCTCAGGTCCAGGAACAGTTTGTGTTTTTTCATAAGAATCTCTCCTTGATGTTGCAAGCCGCCACCACCTTTCAAAGCTCAGTGGCCACTCTTCCCAGACCCAGCCGCTGAAGGTCTTCTGACCGTGGCTCTGGCCCCGGGGCTCCTGCACAACGGGGATTTGGACATCTCCTCCAGGCAGCCACGCGGCCGGCATCAGCGTGTGCTGACCAGTCGCTCTGGCACGCCCCATGGTGAAGGTGAGCAGCTGTTGAATCTTAGCCATGTGCCAGCCCCTCTCCAAGGCCCCGACGCACAGCATCTCATTTATGCTGTGAGGTTGGTTCTGCGGTGGCGCCCATTTCACAGATGAGGCATCTGGTGTACAGAACAGAGAGACATTCAGGAATTTGATGCCAGACAGTGAGTGGCCGAGCTGGGATGTGGATTGTGAGGGTCTGGTTCGAACACCGGCTCTGTCCATACCTAGGCCGCCCTGCCTCTTGCCCACACGTTTGTCTGCTGGCGGTTCCTCCTCCCCAAAGCCTCCTCGTGGTGCTGGGCTGAAGTGGATGCCACCAGGGAGAATGTCTTCATAGAATTCAGGAGTGTAGGGGTCGCAGAGCAAGGGTAACCTCTGGCCTTGGTAGTGGAGGAGGAGTTGTTCCTGAGATCCGGGTATTCAACAGTGCTCACTGCCGCGAAGCTCACTTAACAGCACCCCTTGGCACAGCCTGGCTCCTGCTTTGCAGGTGGGGGTCGGGGGGCCAATCCAGGCTGCCAGTCCTAAAGCGGGCCTGGTCATTTGGATGTCCAGGATCCTGCCAGTTTGTTTTGGAGCGAATGCATATGTGAATGTTCCAAAGAACGCTGTCAGCGCCGTCCACGCTGGTTAACACAAGTTGACGTGAGTCGGGCAGCTGGCCAGACAGATCCTTCCAGCTAAGCCTCGGGGTGGTGGTCTTTGAGGCCCTGCTTGTAAATCCCATATCTTTCTTTGCCTCTCTTGGGGTCATTTCCCTCTCCCAGAGGTTCTCTGGATGGCAGGCAAGGCTCTGACCCAGGGATGGTTCTGGTAAGCATAGGTGAAGGACCCTCTGACTAGAGCTCCCTCCTTCTTGGGAATGTCTCAAGGGAGGGCATATTCCATCTCTATCCAGAGCTCCTGGAAGTCCCGGGACGGCCTCGCATGAGAAGAGGATGACCCACCTGCCTCTCAGGGACTTTCCACCTGAGGAGATAGGTGCCATGCTGTTCATATTGCAAAGGAAATTTTCCAGTTTCTCTCCCACCACCCCCTTCACCCCATATCCTGACACAGGGAAGGCTAGGCCAAGCCCTCAGAGAGTTCTGGAGTTCATCTGGTACAGAATAGTCAGGCAAGAAGAAGGAGAGCCCCCCCCTCCACCATCCTGGGACTTCCACCCCCCTGGTGACTATAAGTGGTGGCGTCAATGTGGCCAGCAATGTGTGTGAAAGGGGAAACTGCTTCCTCCAGAGAGGGCTGTCAGCTGCTGGGGACTGCCCAGCCAGGAAGGAGGGGACCACAAGGAAGAGACAGGAAGTTCATGCAGAGCTGTTGCTCTGGACTCCCCTGACCGACCCAGGCCTCCCCTCCTGCATCTTCTTCACCCTTTAGAGTGGATAGGACAAGTCAGAACCTGTCCTTTGTCCTCTGTCGTCAGTGGCACCCCAGACATGAGTGTGCAGTGATCACCGCTGTGTCACTTCCCTCTACATTAGAGCCCCAGACGTCGCAGCCCTGTTACTTTAAAGGCTGTGCCACCATCTCATTACAGGGAGACCCCCTCCTACCCCAGCCGTACCCCAGGTTCCCACAGACAGGGCTCCTGCTTTACCCTTTCTCTCACACGTATCCCTATTCATGCAGACTGAGACTCTCAGCAGCCCCAGCCTGCTGGATGAGAGAGATCTGTGGGGACTGGTGGGTGGAGGTGGAGGCCTTGGGAGTAGAGCAGGAGACTCCTCTGTGAGGAGCCTGAGGCCACCTCCCAGCAGGATGTCCTTGTGGCCAAGAGGAAGCCCAGACAGGGGGGCCTTGTTGGCAGTCTGGTTCTTCTACCTAAAGAAGTCAGTTCCGTAACCCCAGAGAACCCCAGCTGGTGCTTCTCTTGGCCACCTCAGCCTCCCTGACTCGTAGCCAAACAGATCCTACTAGGATTCAGGCTCCCCTGGCCTGAGGAGGGGGCCTGCAGTCTAGGGGACACATCTGTACAGTGGCCTCTTTCCTGGATGCTGCTGGGCAGCTCACTGGTTCCTGGCCACCCCCATCTCTCCCCTTCCTGGGCCAGGCATTAAAAAGTCTCCTCTGGGGAGGAGGAGTGCCCTCTTCATTACATGGTTGCTCTGTTGATTATAGGTGTGGAGCTGGCAGGAAAGGGAGGGGCTTGCAGGGACTTGGAGCCCCTGTGCCTCCATGAAACCCCTCCAAAGTGGCTAGACCATGGCAAGTAGATTCACAGCAAGACCTGTCCCCAAACCTATTCCTCTAGCCAGCTTCCACTGACCTAGTCCTTGGCAATTCAGGCCGCAGCTGGCAAGCCTGTGCCTCCCAAGGCACAGGGGACCCAAGTCCCTCCCGAGGTGCTGCGATGCTGGGGTGCTCTCACCCTCATGGAAGGAGCACTCCCCCAGCCCAGGCAGGTCCCTGGGGGAAGGGGACACCAGATAAATCCACTTTGATCCAGCACTTAAACCAGAGCACACCCCAAACGTGAATGGATGTGACCCCAATATTGGTATTCTTGTTGAACCTTGAAGTTCATGAACATTTAAAATTCAAAAAAGCTGGTGAGTCAACCTGTGCTTTCCTAAAATTATTAAATAATCATAAAATCGAAACATCAACATAAGCTCCAAATGAGGAATGCTGTCAAGTGCCAGGAGGGAAAGAAAGGGCCACGATCGGGGCCCGACCAGAGTCTCCGGAAGGAGTTGGAAGGTTCAGGACAGGAGGGAAAGTATGGGGGGCTTCTCCAGGCGGTGACTTCTCTGGGGCTACTCCTGGGTGTCAGGTGGGCAGGAAGCTCCAGGGTTAGCCTCCCTCTTCTAACTAAAGCTCTTTCCCTGTCTCTAGATTCCCATACCGAGTGTGCCTACGTTCCAGCCCTCTACACCTGTCCCTGAGCGCCTGGAAGCTGTGCAGCGCTACATCAGGGAGCTGCAGTATCCTCCTCAGTTCGAGGTTATGGCCACCATCTGGCTGGTGCAGTGGTCCAAAGACCAAGTGGGACTGGTTTTCAGACAGGGCTGGAGAAGCATCAGGAGAGCAACCCCATTCTACAGCCCCCAATAATGCTGTTCACAGGGCATCTCTGTGCCCGGCGAGTGATGCCAGCACAGCCTGGCTGTGGGAGTCTTTTATCTGATGAGTGCCAGACCCCCTCTGCCACCCACTTCCTTCCTCGTCTTCCCTGTGATGGGAGAAATGTCCTCGGAGAGACCCACGGCTAAGACTGTCAAGCCTAGGTCCACCAGCACAGACCTCCTCCTCTGCTGTCCATCCAGACCTAGCAGAAGGAGAGTGGGGAAACTCTCCCTTGGGGCAGTTGAAAAGCTGGTTTGAAAGAGATAGGGGGAGGCAGATGCAGGAGAAAAAGGCTTTGACGCTCCAGGACATCACTTCTACATCTTGGAACATTCTCCTAGTTCTTTGCCTTTTTCTTCCCATGTACGAGGCCAGTTGCCTAGCATGGAAAGACCTGAATCCCAGAGCCCGATTCCCCAGTATCCCTGCTCTGGGCCTCGATGGAGAGGCCCAGAGCTGTGTGCCCTGAGTCCTCTCCCTTCTAGCTGCACATGTGCCAGGGATGGGAGGACTAGGCATGGTGCCTAAGGAGGAAAGACAGGCTCATTACTGGAAACCAGGTCCAGCCCTTCCATTTCCCAATGGGGAAGCTGTGGCCCGAGATGGGGAAGGCAGTTGGCTCAGGAGCAGCACCCAGCAGATGAGCTGCAGTGGACCCCCAGTGCAGCCTCCCCTCCACTCACCTTGCTGCTCCATCTCTCCGGGCCCTGGCTGGCCGGGCTGCCTGCCCCACAGCCCGCCACTGTGTAGGGGAGAGCTGGGCTGGCATCTCCTTTCTGATGTTCCAGCCTTAAGTGCCTTGTGGAAGCAGCTTGTGGGATCCTTACCCAGTCTGCACCCCAGAGGTGTCTGGCCCCAAGGTCTGGGGTGGAGGGGGGGTGGGCAGGGGGGCAGAGGGGCGCAGCTCTTCCAGACCTGGCTAGAAAGCCCTTAACTGGCACCCACAGGTACAATCACACAGGGACACAGTTCTTTGAAATTAAGAAGAGCAGACCTCTGACAGGGTAAGTTTGGGGAGCACCTTGTCTCTCTGCATCCGGGCTGTGTCCCCAGCCAGGTTGCAGTGCCTGGGGACAGCGTTTGGGTAGAAGCTTATGAGGCAGGCAGGGACATCTTCCAGGGGAGCCAGCGAGGGTGGAGGTAGGGTTGGGGGCAGGTACCATGGCGGGGCTCTGATGTTGTCATAAAGGGGAAAATCCTGGCCAAGATGAATATCCAGGGCTCCCCTGATGGAAAGGAAACCCCAACATCCATGCTGAGCTGGGAGAGTGATGGGTAGCCCCCCACCTTGCCCTGGTGTTGACAGAGGGTGGTCCCAGGTAGATGTCTAGCCTCATCCTTTTTTTCTTTTTTTTCTTTTTTTAAAGGTTTTATTTATTTATTCATGAGAGACACACAGAGAGAAAGAGAGAGGCAGAGACACAGGCAGTGGGAGAAGCAGGCTCCATGGAGGGAGCCCGATGTGGGACTCGATCCCGGGACTCCAGGATCACACCCTGGGCCAAAGGCAGGCGCCAAACCACTGAGCCACCCAGAGATCCCTTTTTTTTTCTTTTTTTAAACAAGAGATGAGCCTAGCAGGAGAGAGCCAGCCCTCCCGTTCTCTCCATGCCCTGCAACTGCTCACGTACTTCCCATTGCTGGGGACCTGTATGCCGCCCCCTTTGCCTTATTGGACTCTCTTCTAGTCATTTTGTGCAAGTCCCAGTGTCTGAGAAGCAGGGACCCCACTGGAGACAACACTGCATCTCTCACTTCCCATTCCACCACCCCCTGTAGACCCCTGGCTGGTTTCACCCCAAAGAAGCCCTGAAGGCAGAGGAGAGTGAAGGGTGAATGCCCCTGCTGGGTCTGGGGCCTCAGCCCAAAGCTTAAAACTCTGTTTTAAAAACTAATGTGAATTTTATATCTTTCTCCACACATTATCTGTCCATGTTTGCTTTCTTACGAGAAATACTTTAAATGGTTTGCTAAATGACTTAATTACCCCGTCCCCAAACCCCTGGGTAGAGTCCAGCCTCTCTAACCGAGAAGCTTCGCTCTTATTATGCTCTGGCTGCTGTATGCTAGGGGCCCAGCTCCAGCCTCAGTGCGATGGAGGAATCCAGCACCCTCCTGGGCAAAGCCAGTGGCCAGGCCAGTGTTCCAGGGCTGGGAACAGCATACGGTGAGGGAACCAGGCCTCAGGAATAGGCTGTCTCAAAGTGGCCTGAATTGGAAGTTCAGAGCAGGCTGGGGTTTGTCACTGGGGAGCTCACTGCCTGAGATCCTGTGTCTGTGCCCCGGGCAGCTGGCCAGCTGCAGAGGAGCAGTTGTAATCAATTACAAGCTCTTTGGAGAAGCCCTGATTGAGACAGAGGTGTTCACTGTGCTCCAAAAGGGACAAGAGCAATGCCAAGGTTCCCAGCATCCCGGGCATGCTTTCCCACTGGCCCTGGCAACACTGTCTTCATAGAAAGCCCCCAGCCCAGTGAGGGTCAAAACCCTGCCTACCAGGGCATGCCCCCCACCCCACCCCCCATTCATGCTCCTCTCTCCCAGAAGTCCTTGGAGTAGGAGCCTGGGGTGGGAGGAGGAAGTGAAAGGGGGTAGAAAAGGGGGAAGGGGCCTCCTTCTTTATCTTTTGTGGCTGCCTCTTCTCCTCCTGCTCAGGCTCAGGACTTGGGGGCAGGGGGTGCACAGGCTGGGCCTGAGCTGGAAGGGAAGGGGCTCTCAGTCCTGTAGCACTTCTAGACCATCTTCTCCCCGCTCCTGACCCTCCCCCACTGGAAGGGCCTGGAGGCTGTGTCCTCATGGTTCTGCTTCCCTTCCCCCAGGCTGATGGACTTGGCCAAGGAAATGACCAAAGAGGCTCTGCCAATCAAATGCCTGGAAGCCGTGATCCTGGGAATGTATCCTTCCTTGGCCCTCGGAGACTAGGGGCAGGTGGGCTCAGCCTGTCTGAGCTCCAGCTTCCTCCTCTGGAAGGGGAGGGCTGAATGAGCTCCAAGCCCTCCCAGCAGTCATGAGCTTGATCCCAAAACGAAGGGGTTCTTGGGGCAGCGGTGGGCTCCATCCCCAACACCTCAGTTGCTAACTTTCCAGGCCTGCTTTTTTTTTTTTTTAAAGGATTTTATTTATTTATTTATTTATTTATTTATTTATTTGAGAGAGAAAGCATGAGTGGTGTGGGAGGGAGAAGCAGATTCCCTGCTGAGCAGGGAGCCCAACTCCACTCTGGGTTTAATCCCAGGACTCTGAGATCATGACAGATGCTTAATTGCCTGAGCCACTGAGGTGCCCCTAGGCAGGTCTTTTTTACATCATGTGAACACAGTGACTATGTTCTCTGAACCCCAAATCAGGGCACATGGTCTCACAAAAGGCTGTTGTGCCATTTCTGAGAACCAGACAGTCTGGGAGAAGCCATTTGAATGCCCAAAAGTTGGCATTTCCAGGACATTGTAGATTCATAGAGATGATGGATGGGGTCTTTAAAACAAAACTGCCTTTTTTAAAAAGCAGAGTTTCTGGGTCACCCCCATCCAACGGGCAGAACTGAGGCCTAGAGCTGGGTTACCAGGGTCATGAAGTGGGACAGACCAACTCCTGGTCAGCGCAGGAGGGAGACAGGTGTTTATGGCCGGGTCTCCGTTCTCATTCGTCTGTGCCTTAGCAATGGCCTTTAGTTTTATGATGGAAAACTGTTAAGCTTGTACAAACAGAACAATATAAGGAATCCCATGTGCCCATCACTCAGTCTTACCAGTTCAAGGCCAGTCCTGAGTCATCTCTGCCCACCCCCACCATCTCTTGCTGCCCATAGTACCTCCCAGCTCTTAAATATTCTGTCTGCCCCCCCACCCCCCCCCACACACATACCCCATACCCAGTATAGATGCCTGGCTTAGTGCTGCAGAAAGGGCAAGGGGGCTGCTGCCTAACAGAACAAGGACTCCATTCTCTAGGACAGATCAGGGAGGAGAATGTGATGGTCAGGTCAGGAGCACGGCTTCTCCAAGGAGGGCCATGGTCCAGGGGGTACACTCCCCCCACCCCTCACAGCCATACCTACCTTAAATTATTCAGAGAGACCACCGGGGCGCCTCCTCAGTCCCACTTCCGCAGAGGCCCCTAGAGCTAACTCCGTTGGGGTGGTGGTCGGCCGACAGGCAGGCCCACCTCCACAGAGCTGGACAAGCATGGCCCTGTGTAAAGGGTTCTTTGCGGGGATGTGCATGAGAACCTCAGGCCACTGCCCAAGCCTCCTCCACGACCCCCCATTCTCTTCTTCAGGGGCCACACACACCAAAGTTGAGGTTCCCAGCCACACTGTAGGGGGGAGACTCTGCTTTCTCCCCTCAAAGCTCACAGAAGCTGCTCCAGGCAGGATGCCATGGTCCCAGAGGCCTTTCAGAGGTTACCTGGGGGCTCCTGGACAGGAAGACGACAGGAGAAGCTCCCTGGTATGGGCGGGGGCCCCTCCCCAGTGTCCCCCACAGAACTGCCACAGCCCCCTTGTTTGCTGCACACACTGCGGACACTGTACTGAGTTTGCTTCCATGTCTCCTGGCTGCATGCTGAGCGTGTGCCTTGTTCATCTGTGTCGTCAGACACTTGCAAGGAGTGGGGCTCAGTAAGTCCTGGAGGGGCCGAGAGCACAGGCTTTGGGGGCAGGCTGACCCGGACCTGAATCCTAGCTCAGCAGCCGACTGACTGTGTGACCCCAAGCAAGTTCCCCAACATCTCTGACCTGTGGGGTCTTCCTCCACAAAAGGGCATGATGGTAGTGCCTATCTGGCAAGGTGGTTGGGACCACTGAACCAGTCATTGTGTGGAGGACACCTGGCGCGGTGCCTGCACAGGGTGTCTGCTCCATGGTTTTCTCTGCTCACCTCCTTTGACTCAGGTGTTCAAGTAGAGCTCACTGAGTAACTACTGGGTGCCTGGCTCTGGGCTGAGCCCCAGACATGCATTGAGGAACATGGTCATACAAGGTCCCTGTTCTCAGGAGTTTATGGCTAAGAGGGGCAGGCTCAGGTGGACGGGGGACAGCCCTCTGGCCAAAGGGAAGAGCTGGTGCTGAAGGTCCTGGGTGGGAAATCCTGGTGGATGGAGAGACTGAACAAGTGGAGCAGGAGGGGTAGGAGGGCGTGAGGGTGGGGGGCAGCCGGCTCAGGCTCCACTGGCCTCCCGGGAGGACCTGGTTGTGTGCAAAGGGCGGTGGGCAAGCACGTGTGTGTGTTGGGCGGCAGCAGTGAGAGAAAGAGCACAGAACTGTGAGCATCTGGGAGAAGTGTATGTGTGAGAGAGAGAAGACAAGACAGTGTGTCTGCGAGCCTGTAGGGGCGAGTGTGGGGAAATGTGTGTGACTGACAGGAGGGAGGGAGGGAGGGAGGGGGCTGGCAGCAGGCCTCCCTCATCCCTCCTTCAGCCGGGAGGACTCTGGAGGGCCCTGCGGTTTGCAGCGAGGAACTCACAGATAGCTGGTAACAGCTTGACCTCGCGGCAGCGGCCGCTGAGAGCCCTGACCCTACAGGTTACTTTATTGAGCACCTACTGCATGCCAGGCTGCGGGGGGCGGGAGTCCTCCAGCTCAGGTCCCCGGGGTGCAGGGCACTGGGGGAGGAGGGGAGGCCCCTGCACCCCTCGAGCTGTTTCCTTAGCTGGGCTGGCGGGTCCAGTTACCTCACCAACAGCATGCCCACCCTGGAGCGCTTCCCCATCAGCTTCAAGACCTACTTCTCAGGGAACTACTTCCGCCACATCGTGCTGGGGGTGAACTTCGGCGGCCGCTACGGGGCGCTGGGCATGAGCCGGCGCGAGGACCTGATGTACAAGCCGCCGGCCTTCCGCACGCTCAGCGAGCTCGTGCTGGACTACGAGGCCGCCTACGGCCGCTGCTGGCACGTGCTGAAGAAGGTCAAGCTGGGCCAGTGCGTGTCCCACGACCCGCACAGCGTGGAGCAGATCGAGTGGAAGCACTCGGTGCTGGACGTGGACAGGCTGGGCCGCGAGGACTTCCGCAAGGAGCTGGAGCGCCACGCCCGCGACATGCGGCTCAAGGTCAGTGTGCTCTGGCCCGCCAGCCCTGGGCACCGCTCCCCTGGGGACCGCCACCAACACCCTCTCCTTGGCCCCCACCCCAGCAGCAGAGGGGCGGGGCTCTCAGGGAGGGTGATGGGGGTGAAGAGTCTGGCCCCGAGGGGCTTGGCTCCCTGCTCCCGTTGAGACCGTCCGCTTGGGCAGGCGGGGAAGGCCCTGGAAGGAAGAGGCAGGTGAGCTGGGTGTGGGAACCGGGAGAGGGGCAGGGGTGCCACCCTTCCTTTGGAGCCTTTGGTTGGGAAATCAGAGGCTGTCTGGAGGAATAGGTAGGGCCAGGTGCAAGGAGCCTATATCCACCCTAGGTATGCAGACCCTTGACCTCCCAGACCCCACGTTCAATAAAGAACCAGAAAGTCAGAAAAAGGAAGCCTTACATGGGAAGATGGTGAGGGTGGTGGTTCCTTCTCCCTCTTCCCCACTGTGATAAGCAGGAGGGCAGCTAGGAGGGGCTGTCCTACCCCAGCAGGTGGGCTGAGCTGCTGAGAAGCTTGCTTCTGGCAGCCAGACAGTGGGCACAATCCTGGCCTCTCTTTGGGTCCCCCTGGATTTGAGTGCCTTGCCTGGTGCCTGCCTGGCCCCTCCTGGGTGTTCAGCCCCTCCCCATTGCTTGGTCACTATTGAGCACAGGAGGCCAGCTGGTAGCTTGCAGGAGCTCTATTTTTGGGGCAGGAAAACCAGGTACAAGGGAGGCAAGGAGTTTGCTCACAGGCCATGAGGAGAGTGGGCGGGAGCTCAGTCTCCAGATGGGGAATGCCAGGTGTGTCACAGGTGCAGGCACTGTGCCTGCAGGGCCTGTTAGAGCTCGGCTGCCCTGCCTTGCCGGGCAGTCACAGCACTTTCCCCCCGGGAGGGGCAGTGACCCTGCACAGCTCCGGGGGGACTGGCCCTCCCTGTGTATCACTGGCTTCCCAGCTCCCTGGCTCCTGCCACTGGAGTCACACTGGTTCTTCGGGGGAGCACGTTGGACCTAGAGTTGGAGCTAAGAGTTGGCCTGTCCTTAGGCACTGTGATTCCCAATCTATTTGGCGTGAAGGGCTCCCCATGTTATTTGCTCCTCTCTAGCATCCCTGCCATATACCCCATTTTTTGAAATTTTAGTTCAAGCTGCCCATGCCATATAAAAATGTTTTATTTGCTTTTCACCTTTTTCCTTCACCATATGTAGCTGCCAGTCTGAGCATCTGCTAGGTGACCAGTGTCCCACTTGGGCCTGGTGGGATGTCAGCCCAGAATTCAGACATAGGCTGCTTCCCCAGTTGTTGCATTTACCTGGCTCAGGTGAACGGCCCAGGGCTCCTTACAGTATCCCAAAGCCTAGTGACTTCCCCTGACTGCATGCTGCCCTGCTGGGGAACCCTTGCCTGGCAGCTTTAGTTCCCAGGAAACAGGTTTGGGATGATCCTGGAGACAGGATGGCCTCGGGGCTTTTTGCTCCACCAGTGCAACGCAGGAGGGGCTCCTGGTCAGCTCTAACCGTGTCTTTGTTTCTCCTTCTCTACCAAGATTGGCAAAGGGACTGGCCCTCCCTCTCCCACCAAGGACCGGAAGAAGGACGTCTCCTCCCCGCAGCGCGGCCAGTCCAGCCCCCACCGCAGGAACAGCCGCAGCGAGAGGCGGTAAGGGATGGGGTCGCACCTGGGGGGGACTGGGTCGTGCATGCGAGGTGCGAGGAGAATCCTGAAGGCTTTCCCTCTGTCTTCTAGATCCCTGTCCTTTTCTCACCCTTTCCCCACCCTTCCTTTTTTGCCTCCACCAGAGGGAGGTGACCGGGGTTGGTGGGTTTGTGTGTTTCCGGGTTGACACCTCCCAGGAGCAGTGCTGCCCCATTTCCCTAGGGAAAGCCACATTCACTGGCCCCCTGGCTACCCAGTGTGAGGCACTGGTGCCAGAGCTGGAGGGCCCACTGAGAGGGTGGGGGCAGCTGTGTGGGAGGGAGGCGGGGACGGGTGGGCTCCTGGCAGACGACGAGTTCTCCCGAGAGCATCACTAGGCAAGGTTGACATCAGATGGCAGCTGCTGGGCGGCTTTGAACATAACTTTGGCCCCTGCAAGTCTGGCGTTTGTCTCTATCTAGATGGCAGAAACAGCCCATTAAAATGCCAGGCCGCCTCCTCTCCTTGGTCTCCCACACGGCCGTCTGGCTCTTGCTTCAATATCTGTGTGGTTCAGGAACCACAGCTCCGGGATGATTTAGGGGCACAAGCAGGCCTCCGAGGTACAGTGTCTTTCCCTTAGACTCGGGAGGCTTTTATAGAGAACAGATTCCCAGGGCAGCTGGGGACAGCCAGCTGCAGGGGAGGGGGCCTCCGGTGACCAGCAAGGCCTGTAAGGGAGTGTGGGGAGCACAGCCAGGACAGCGCAGGTCAGGGCAGGGTTCTGGGAACACACTTCAACGTGTCCTTCACTGCTGCGTTTGGGGCACCTTGGAGAATGGAGGGGGAGCAACCCAGGAGCAGCCCCTGTGGTTCCGCCCACCCCCACCTCCCTGCCCAGCCACTCACTCCACCCCCCACCCCCTTCTCTTTTTCCCTGCAGGCCATCCGGTGAGAAGAAGCCTTCTGAGCCCAAAGCCATGCCGGACCTCAATGGGTACCAGATCCGGGTGTGAGGCGCGCGGCAGTGCCCCAGCCTCACCGCATCTTGGGGCCAGGATCCCCCTGCCAGAACTGGCCTTGTTCGTGGGGGGAGAGGGCCTGGTGGGGGGCAGGGCGAGAGGGCGGCAGGAAGAGCCTGTCTCAGCTCAGCCACCCCAGCTGCTGCCCCTCCCACTGGGCCAAGACCCCTAACTTTGGGCCAAGAAGCAGTTAGTATTTTATTTGGAGTTTTTAACCCGATAACTAAAGTTTAAAGTGTTTGGGGGAAAACTTAAAAAACTAATGGATCTGCCAATCGCCAGAAGGCCAGTGCTTAGATCTGAGGACTACAGGGTTGGGCAAGGAGGGGACGCTGGCTCTGCTGGTGTCTCTCTGGGGGGGTGAGTCCGTCCTGTCTCAACCCCACTAAGCCTGTGGCTGGACGGGGTGGAGTAGGGGAGGGAGGGAGGTGTTCCTCTAGTTCCTCTAGTTCTGCCTCCCCTGGGAAGCAGAATCTTGACCCAGGGAACGGGAAGCAGGGTAGAAATTATCCTGGGAAAGGTCTTTGTGGCCCATGGCAGGAGCTTGGCCCAAGGCCACATGGCCCAAGACCAGAGCCCCTGGCCCAGGAGAGGCCTCATGCCCTTGCAGCCTGTGGCCAGGGCTGTGGGGGCTATAGGAGAGCCCAGGGGAGCCCGCTGGGGGAAGGAACCCCAGGCCGCTACCTGGCCTCCTTGCTTACTCCAGCTCTGCCTGGAAGGGTGAAGCTGGGGGTGCTCCCTGCTCCCTGCAGGGCGGCTGGGCTTTGTCACAGGCCCGGAGCTGTACCGGGCTCGGCATGACTGTAGGGACTGAGCAGCCTGGTGGGCCCAGGAACCATGACTGGGGATAGAGTGGGACACTCAGGCCCCAGGCTGTCCCCTGGCAGGCCCCAAGGGTTGTGGGGAGGCACTGCTACTCCCCACCCCTTTTCTATTACCTCAGTCCTTGCTGTGAAAATGAAGACCGGATCAGGATGCTTGTGCCTCAGGCCTGGCTCCCCTCATGCAGCAGCCCATCTGGGTTTGGGGGTACCAGTGACGGTCAGACCTGTGGCATGTGGCTTGTCAGGGAGGAATCTGGACAGCTGGTGTCTGCACAGTCTGCTTGTCAAGTGTGAGATACCTGGTGGACACGTGAAAGTGGAAAGACGTTGGCAGGGTTGGGGGAAGGTCCTAGAGACTAAAGCAATGGCAAGTGATAGGGCGAGGGTGCAGCTGCCCACCACGAAGGAGCAGAGCCTGGGAACAGGGGAGCGTAAGTGAGAAAAGGATGTGGGGGAGAGGTTAGAAACAGGCTGCTTGGGAAATAGTGAGTTCCCTGTTGCTGGAAGTATCCAAGCAAAGCCTGGATGGCAACTTGTCGGGAAGCTGTCGAGAGGATTCAGGTTATGGAAGGGGAGCCGGATAAGGTGACCGGCAAGGTTTCTTTTCACTGAGAGGCTGTGCTTCAGCCAGGGGCCAGGCCCCGGATAAGGAAGGATCAGAACCAGGGTTGTAAGCTCACACACCCACAGGGCCAGGCAGGGGATTAACGGCAGGGCTGCAGGGAGGGCCGGGTGGCCAGCTAATGGGCTGCTTCTGCCGAGGTATTCTCAGAGTGGGGGCCCTGCATTGCCAGATTGTATGACTGTTTCTCAGAAGCCAGAGCTCTGGATTTTTGTGTGAAATGACCTGATTTTTAAATGTTGGCAATCAGTTCGGACAATGTAAAAACCCAACATGAAAGAGAATGCCAATTTGTAATCTCAGGTAGAGAGAGCTTGTGCTGGGGAGAAGTCCACTGAGAGGTTTTGAGGTGGAGATTAAGAAAGTTCTTCTAGGCTTCCCGGGGGGGCTGGGCCAGGGCAGGGTCCTCTCTGCTGAAGCTGCCCCAGACAAGGCAGCTGGCCCGTGTTTGTCCTCCTCCCCGTCCTTGCAGACCGGAGGCCTACCGTAGTCACCAGCAGGGGTGGAGTGGAGATTGCCCAGCGCCCAGCCTGCCAGGGAGATGGATGTGCGCGGGAAGCAGGGAGGGGTGGAGGGACGGAGACACGATGCTTCTGCTGATGCAGGTGCCCATCAGGGAAGCACCAGGGGCTGGCAGCTCTTCACACCAGCAGCTTCTGGCCCAGAGCCAGGCCCGGCAGGAGGGCCAGCTGGGCAGTCCCTTGAGTTCCTCAGGGGTCACCAGGCCCTGGGGAGGACACCTAACCTGCCCCTGGACTACACTCCAGCCAGGCCAGTTCCAGCGCCATTGTGGCCCCTGACTCACCATCCCGTCCCATCCAAGGTCTCAGGCCATGGGGTGCTGGTCCCCACATTTGCCACATTGGCCTGGGGCAGAGAGGACTCACTTCGGGAGATGTGCAGCTGACAGCGAACGTGGCCTTTTCTGGGTCTACACATGGGTGCCACTTACCAGCAGGGGAGGGGACTGCCACATCCCCAGAGACCCCAGGTCTTGAGGGAAGACTTGACAGGGGACTGGGGTCAGAGAGATGGGAGGAAACCGCTCTACCCTTCTCCAAAGCCGTCTAGGGAGAAATGGGAGGAGGCCCACCCCTGTTGCTGCCCAGAGGAGGGAGCTGATCCCCCTGAGCAGATAACCCCCCGCACTCTCCCTCCTCGCTCAGACCTCGGGCCTGTGGAGGCCACCACAGGATACAGCGGTGCTTTTTAATTTATTTTTAACATTTTCTCATATGTAGCAAGCCCTCCTCCCCTCCTGGGCGTGTTTACACAGGCTCTGCTCCCTGGGGCTGGCCTGACTGCAGAGTTTCTGGGGAGGCAGAGGCAGGGACTTTGGGGCCTTAGTCACCATCCTTGGTTTCACCTCATGTCACTTCCTGTGAGGAACAGGGGCCTGGCTCCTGACTCAGGACTGCCTTCCAGCACTCAGTGGGGGCTCCTCTGCCCCCAGGGGTGGAGGCTGCTGGCCGAGGAAGCCCCAAGGTGAGGTTAAAAAAAAAGCTGCTTCATGAAGGTGGGCCAGGGTGGCAGTGATTGCTTCCCAAAGCCCAACTCCTTGGGCTCAGTGCCAGCTCAGAACACTGGGAAACTGGGTGTAGAGAGCCCCCCTGCCCACCTAACTGCCAGTCCTCTCCCTCCCATGGCCTCAACACAGTCACATTCCCCTCACCCATCATGCCAGACCCCATCCTTCCTGGGCGTGGCCAGGTGGGGAGGGAAGCAGCCCTCTGGCCCCCAACGCCATGAAGCCTAGGGCCAGGCTCCAAGGAGTGGAAAGGGCCCAGGGGCTGGCTGTGTCTGGTTTCTGGCCCTCTCTGCCGGCACACGCCCCATTCCTTCCATCCTGGACTTGACCTGCTGGCTCTGAGATGAGGTCCAGTTCTGGTCAGCAGCATGTCCAGGGGCCCATGTGTCTATGTGTACCTGGGGCTCCTGCCTGGGTTGTTTTCTGGCTTTGATGCACTACCATCAGCAGGCACACCCCCTGGCCTGGAAGCACCAGGAAGGTGCACACCGCTCATTGTGCCAGAGCACCCCCCGACACACACTGGAATCTCCATGGGTTCCCGCTCAGAAGCCAGGTGAAGGGTGGGAGGGGGCCTGCCTCAGGCCGGACTGCTCTGGTGCTAGCTGCAAGCCCATCAGTGTTGACCCCCAGCCACACCCTGGTGCTCCTGAGTCCCAAGTTCCCCTTTCTCTCGGGTGTGCTTGGCCCAGGGGCCTGGGGACAGGGGGGCCACACCTCCCTTAAGCTTTGTGTTAAGCTGCCTGTGGGACCAGACTCTGTCCTTCCTGCTCTTCCCGTGTCAGTATTGCTCCCTCCCCTCTCACTTTTACCCCTCTCATTGCTGTGCTTGCTTTTTTCCTGAAATGAATAAAGGCTCCCCGGCTCCGGTTGCACCGGCTGGGCAGAAACCACATAGAAGCCTTGTCTCCTTTCCCCTGGGAACTGAGGCCAGAGCCCACCCCACCCACCGGTGTCATCCCTGGTGGCTGTAGGAAGACCCGACCAGAGGTAAGGGGAGCCCCAAACCAGCCAACAGGAAGCCTACAGGCCCCTGTAGCCATCGTGAAACTTCTGGGGTCCCCTGTCATCCTCAGCCTGCCTAAGCCACTCCGCTCTTGTCAATCCTAACCTGGGAGATCTTTCCTGCTGGCTGTAAATAAAACCTCTCCTTCACACAGCCTGAGCCGCACAGGCTGGCCCCAGCAGTCCCCCAGGGACAGAGGAGGGAGGATGAGTCTTCCCCTAGGAGGAAAGGTTATTTCAGGAAACCACAGCAACGGGGCTCTTAAGTCCCTTCTCAGCGCAGGTGCCCACAGTCTCAGCACAGAATCTACAGTGGCTCGTCACAGCTTCAGAGAACACATGTGGTTCCACCCATCGCCCCTGCTCCCTCTAGCGCCAGGCCCCTTCCCACACTTTATGACGAGCCTACGGCTGCAACCGGACTTGCACAGAAACAGCTTTTAGATCCACAGCCTTTGTTTTCACCCTCTCTGCTCTCCTTTCATTCAGCTGGACTTGGAGAAGGGGTAGGATATTCCCTCCTTCTCATTCCAGTCAATCCCCATAAAGTCCTGGCTAGAAATGTAGTTCAGCACAGCAAGACCCCCTCACTTCCAGTGGCGTGGTGGTGAAGCACGGCAACTGGGAAGAGGCAGTCTGTTGGAATCCCTGACCATCTTAAGACTGTATATCGTCCAGAGAGAGGCAGTTTTGCTACCAACAGGCTCATTTAAGTCTTACTTAAATGATACCCAAAAAAGACTTTTCAATAAGGTAACCGAAATCTGTAAATACTGTGGATTGTACACCTTTACCCAAAGGCAACATTATAATGTATACATTCAAGTGCAGCTAAAACACCCAGTCAAGGGCCTGTGGTGGACTTCAGTGACGTAGGCTCATTCCCAGCAGGCCCCTGAATTGCTGGGGTACACGGGAGGGCTGGGTCGGTGCTGGGACCACAGTCCATTATGAGCCCAGCAGGCTCATTGGGGACAATGCTTAGAATTGAGAGATAAATGTCATCATGGAGTTCTGGGAAGATCAGGACCCAACTTACAGAGGGTGGGAGTGGGAGGTTACCTCATTTCCTGCTGCCATATTTCAGGCTCTCAGCATGTCCCACCCTCATTTAGGCACGGGACTAATTTGTGCTGGGACTTTTGGATGCAGGTGGCACTTTTTAGAGCCCTGAACATGAAGAGGTTGAAAGCCCTGTCACCCCCATCTTCCAGGATCTGACCTTTTGCCCACCACCATGGAAGGCAGTGATGACAAGAAGAGGTGGTCATATCAAAGACCACGCCAATTGGCCCCGACGTGGGCTGCCTGGTAACCCAGTGTCTGCCAAGGGGGGAAGGGGACCAGCTGCTGAGGCTTGGCAGGTGGTGGAGATAGGCCACCTCAAGTCGGCTGGAGGGACAGCTCTCTGGGGATGTGCACTTCCTCTAACCCCCAACAAGAAAGAGCTTGATCGTGGGAAAGGCAAAAAACCTCCCAGAATTTAAGTGAAGAGATTCCGGTCTTCTCTCCACAGCTGTGTGCAGCCTCAGCAGCAGGGGACCTGAGGAGGGATGGGACTGAAGGCAGAGTCCCCTTGGAAACACATTCAGCTCACATTCTCCTAACTGGGGTGAGAGCTGCACCGACCCAGGCTCTCATCTGGCTGGTTCTTGCCTGAAACAGTTTTGTTTTGCACATTTGCTCAGAAACAAGGGGAAGGCACTCCAGGTTGAGACTGGAAGTGTCAGACCGCAGGTCCACTCTCTCCTCAGGCGGAAACTATAGGAGGAAGGCCCCTCCAACTCCCGGGAGAAGAGAGGCCAGACTGTGCTTCACATAACCAATCAAAATAACAGCCCTCTGGGGCAGCCCGGGTGGCTCAGCCGCCTTCAGTCAGGACATGATCCTGGAGACCCTGGATCGAGTCCCACGTCAGTCTCCCTGCATGGAGTCTGCTTCTCTGCCTGTGTCTCTGCCTCTCTCTCTCTGGGTCTCTCATGAATAAATAAATACAATCTTAAAAAAAAAAAAAAATAGCCCTCTGGTTAGTTGCTACACCAGGGCAAGACCTGGGGAGAAAAAGTTTATAAAGACAGAACCCAGCAGCAGCAGGCTGGTTGGTCTTTTCCCTTCTTCCAGGCCCACCCCCCATGTGTCTGCCTTACAAAATAACCTGTCTCTCCTACTCTGAGAAAGGCTGTGCTCTGAGGGCTGTGGGGTATCAAGGAACAAAGCAAAGGAGATCCTCAATTTACCTCTTTGCGAATTGTGTTTCCTCAGATGTAAATAAAGGTAATATATGAAAACCCACATTGCCACCTCACGGTGTTGACTGCTAGTGGATGTAGAAGCACTGTTCAAACATTAATAAATATCTGTGCAAATGTTACATGACTCAGGAAACCCTGCAGGCCAGGAAAGGATCTCTGGGGCGGGGGTGGGGGGTACACCTCACAGCTCAGAACTGTAAAATAATTCCTAGCCAACGAGCAAACCATGCAGCCAGGCTGGAGAGAACTATTCACCCTCAACTCCTACCACTGATCCTCTGAAATCTTACCTTCCCTTGCTTGCCAAAGCCCAAACAACACAATTTCAGATCTGAAAATTCCTCACAAATGGAAAAGGTTAAAAAAAAAAAATGGAAAAGGTTATTACTTTAATCCCCATTTCACCAAGATACGCAACACAACAATTAACTTACCCACAGTCACCAAATGACCAGGCCAACACTACAAGTGTTGTTCCTTATCCCTGGCTGTTTTCTTTCGGCCAGGTGGTT